GCGGTGGGAGGAGGGGGGAGGAGGGAGGAGGGGACGGGCATTTGTATACACAAGGAGTGCAATGCGCACTACCCAAAGGATGGACATATTTGAAACACGGACTTGGGGGGAGGGGAACCAAAGGCAACACACGTAACCTAAACATCTGTACCCCATAATATGCTGAAATAAAAAAAAAAAACACATAGTGCTTGCTACATGTCAGGAACTGTTCTAAATACTTTGATGTATTAATTAATTTAAACATCAAAATAGCCCTTTGGGAATGGCAATGTTATCATTCACATTTTAAGTAAAGAAACTGGAATACAGAGAGGTTACATTCAAGGTAGAGATGAAATTCCATTTATGCAAGGAAGTCCACGTTCTTAAACACTTGGCCCTTCTTTCTGGAGCTGTATGGTTTGACTGAGATTCTGTGTATGCCTGGCTCCAAGTAGGAACTCTCTGAGTTTTAATAGGCTAGAGTTGCATATTGTACCACACCAAAGCATAGGGGAAGACCATATGGTAACTAATGAAAATCCTTGAGGACAAACTTCAGAAATTGACCTCTCCTGATGCTGAGTCTGATTGCTTGTTATTGGATGTGGGCTACTATGATGACGGGAATAGAATTAATTAGGAAGAGCTTATGAAAGCATGCACCATGTGAAGAAGGTTTTGAAAATCTTTCTCCTAGAAATTGTGTATTCATGATTCCAGTTAACAGCATGAAACTTTTACATTATCTTGAGATTTTAAACTGATCTTTACTCCACTCCTACAGCTGAATGAGAATGGATTCATGGTGGGCTGTGAGGGCTAATCTCAACATAGCTAGCGTGTTGTACCATCCATCAAGACAAGAAGATGGAAAATGATGTGATAATCTGACTAACAAGCACCTATTAATCTATCCCTTTCATAGCTCACAGTGAGTAGAAACACAGACACACACACACACACACACACAGAGGTGTATATGTAATATTTATTTCTCTTGGAGGAATTTTAAGCACCATGGCTAAGAGATATGCAATTGTTCACGGAGGGTAGAATCTTGATGCTCACTTCTACCCAAACTTCTATCTGCTCTATGGAAAAGATCAGTATATAAGGGTGAGTCATGGATTAGCAAAAGTAGGACTCTATAGAGGGTAAAAATGAAATGTTTCTGCTATTTTTTAAATTATGGACAGTATTCTGTGATTCCCATAAAAAGGCAGAACAATTAGAATATATTTGATTCATCCTAATTTTTTTTTTTTTTTTTTGAGACAGAGTCTCACTGTGTCGCCCGGGCTATAGTGCCATGGTGTCATCATAGCTCACAGCAACCTCAAACTCCTGGGCTCAAGCAATCCTCCTGCCTCAGCCTCCTGAGTGGCTGGGACTACAGGCACACGCCACCATGCCCAGCTAATTTTTTTCTATATATTTTTAGCTGTCCGATTAATTTCTTTCTATTTTTGGTAGAGATGGGGTCTCGCTCTTGCTCAGGCTGGTCTCGAACTCCTGAGCTCAAACGATCCGTCCGCCTCGGCCTCCCAGAGAGCTAGGATTACAGGCGTGAGCCACCGCGCCCGGCCTTCATCCTAATTTTTAACTTAGGTAAGTAAACTACATAAACTTTGTAAACTACCCTATAAACTAAGTAAAAGGTAATGCCAGGCCATGGTTGTGTTATTAAGGACATAGTGACATTTTTCTCTTGAGTACTAATACTCATTATTCCCTATAACCTATAACAGTAGTTCTAAGGTTTTTAGCAGTAAGTGTGATGAAACATAAAACTTGTGGAGAAAAAATAAAATATTGAAGAAAATTAGAAATTCCACAGGGAGCTTGCAAAATCAACGTATCTATAGAGATTTATACTCCTTCTTGACCTTCTGCCCCTACTCTAAGGTATTAATTCTAAAGTAATGCATGTCTAAACAGTATGAAGATGATATAAAAGTTATTATAATCTTGTTCTCTAGAAAATGATTCTAAAGGATTTTTGTTAATTTAGAAATGTATGTGATGGGAGTTCGCGACTCTCCCAACAAAATGAGTCCCAGGCAGGATCATTGCAAGAGATTCGGAAATAATAGAGACAGAGACAAAATGTGGTTTAAAGTGATGGGGAAGTCAGGGGTCCTCCAGCATTCCTGTGAGCTAGGATTCGCTGAGTGAAGTCCCACATCTGTATTTGTTGGTACAGCAAGTAGTTGTCCTTGGTCATAGAATTATGTGTACAGATTATTCATTTAGGTTTCAAGCCTCCCCAAAGGTTTCAAGGGATCCCTTACCTAAACAGTAACAAAATGTTTTCAAGATAAACATTTTAAGCCCTAAGTTAAGAATAGACCTAGCTGAGCATACAAGTTAAAGATAAAAATGTATAAAACAGGAACACCGAGCCTGCATATTAATCTATTTCTCTATATACTGAGACATGTGGTCAGGAGTGAAATAGGAATAGCCTTGAGGTTTATGATAGTTCCAGCTGTAAGTTGTCTGCTGGGCTGACATCCCTTCATCAGTTTCTTAGCCTTGGGCCTCATGCCGATCTCTGCCTTGCACAAGCTCCAGACGCTGGCTTGCAGGCCTTGAGATTGGCACCAGCTTGCAGTCTCTCCCGATCAGTGGAATGGCCCCCTTGTTGCTAACTAGCTTCTGGTCTGTGAACTAACATGCCCACAGATTCCTTCAAGTCAAAGCCCTACAAATCTCCTGAAACTTTCCATGTCTCTTAGCCCTATTTACCAACATGTATAGTATATTTTTATGCCAGTAGGATACATACCGTAAGTTGTTTTTTAGTAGAAAAGATGGGAAATGCCAAGCCATGAATGTCCGAATTCTGAACATTGGCTGCATTAATAATCCCTTTAATAAACAACATCATGGTAAAACATCATGCCTTACCTAGTGTTATAGAGTAGGAAGGATCAAATATATTCTTTTTTTTTTTTTCTGCCTTCCAGTGGGAATGACAGAATATCATTCATAATCAAAACTAAAATAAAAACTCATTCTCTTAAGCCCTAACTAATCTAAGTAAGATGTAATCTAATCTACCTGTACAAATACAAGATTTAATGCTCAAAATAGGAAAATATGCACATTGTGTCTGACAATGATATGCTTTAAGGAAAATTTATTAGGTATGGAATGTATTTTCTGGGGTCTCTAGATTAATCTGACATTTCTTAAAATTTTTGAAGGAGCTTAAATGACAAATTGCTAAATTTATTTTTTAGCCAGTTCCCCATGGTGCCACTGGCAATACTTCCAAAGTTTAGAATCCTCATTCACTTGCAGAAATTCTAACATAATATATCTTTTCCCAAATTATGAGATGAGATTCATCCAAATGATATGTCAGTTCCGAAGAAACATGCTTGCTTTTAACATGGACATTCATTTATTTAACATAAACAAAGTCAATTTCCATTATGACTGGTGAGGTACTGTTGTCCTTAATGTAAATGTATACAAAGGAGCAGCCAGAAAATACCCAATCATAAAGATTCTAACAGTTTCCCAGAGTTCATCTCATTTCTCTGTGCCTCCATTCAAAGTCATCCTGATAACATATGGGAAAAGTGGAGATTAAATAATATTCAAACATTTTTAGCAAGAAGACCTCTTAGCCTTCTTTTGTCATTAACAAGTATTAAAAAGGACTGAGTATTAACAAGAAATTCTTCCTTCTATATAAAGTGAGTACCCTCATAGTCTTGCTGTATCTCCTTTCTTCTTCATTTTCTATTGCCTCAGAAAGTCAAATATAAATGTCATTAAACTTAATTACATGAATGATTAAAAATATGCAGAATGCATGAGTCAATTATGGTGCTGGAGGTACTAAAGCTAGATAATTGAACAATTTATTTTGGCTCTCATTCAAGCATTTGGCACTATAAAAGCACGTTTGAACTTTCTAGAAAAAATAAGTGCTTCTTCTGCACTATTTCTAAGATCTTTCTTTCTTATTTCTTGAGGACCTACTAAGTATAAATCATTGTGATAGAAACTGGCATGGGAACAAAAATGGCTGGGATCTACATTCACAGCTGCTATTTCACAAGTGTAGATTTCTGTTTCATCCTGGATTGGAGCCTTCCTGGTGAAGAATGATGGACTTAGAGGGGCTTGAGAGGAACACCAGTGATTGTCAGCTTAGGAGGAATATTCCATTTTCCTGACCTAGCTAAACCATTGAATTTCCCATCTCATTAAGTGACTCTTCAGTCTGTAATGCCAGAATGTTCCTTCATTTGCTAAATATAACAACATCTATAGAAGATGGTTCAAAAGACATTTTCAAAATTTGACCACCCCCTCCTATACTTCTGCACTCCCCTTCCCTAGCACCTTCTTCACAGCCTCTTTAACATCTTTGTTTCTCAGTGTATAGATTATGGGGTTAACACTGGGAGTGACAATTGTGTAGAAAAGAGTAAGAAACTTTCCCTGGTCCTGGGAATAAGCGTTTGCTGGCTGGAGGTACATGTATATGATTGTACCATAGAAGAGAGAAACAACAACTAGATGGGAGCTGCAAGTGTTGAAGGCTTTCTTTCGCCCAGCAGCTGACTTTATGCTAAGCACTGCCCGTGCAATATAACTGTAAGAGATGAGGATGAGGATGAGTGGTGCCAGGATGATAAAGATTGCCAAAGCAAAAGCCAGAGCCTCAAGGGTCATAGTATCTACACAGGCCATACCAATTAGTGCTGGCATCTCACAGAGAAAGTGGTCCACCCGTCTGTGCCCACAGCGGGGTAGCATCAATGTCTGGGGGGCCATTATGAGAGAATTGCCAAAGCCACTCAACCATGCCACTGAAACCAGCTGCTCACAGAGATGTGGGTGCATAATGACAGTGTAGTGCAGGGGTTTGCAGACTGCAGCATAACGGTCATATGCCATGACAGCCAGGAGTACACATTCCACCCCTCCCAGGGCTAGGACAAAGTAGAGCTGGATGGCACAACCCACATAGCTGATGGTCTTGTTAGGGCCCCAAAGGTTGTAGAGCATTTGAGGGATGATGCCTGTGGTGAAACACATGTCCAGGAATGAGAGATTGACCAAAAAGAAATACATTGGTGTGTGCAGTTGAGAATCCAGAGCTGAAAGCAAGATGACGGTCACATTGCCAAGAAGAGTAAGCAGATAAAAGATGAGGACAACCACAAAGAGGATCAGCTCCAGGTGGGGACGGTCAGAGAAGCCCACCAAGATGAAGCCTTCAAAAGAACTTGTATTGTCCTTTTCCATCACCTGTGAACACATATTACCTGTTGGGAGAAAGATGGGTGTATGTAAAGAGCATAGATATACTCGCTCAAAATGGAATGACTGGTAAAATGGTAGAATGAAAACTTCCTTGGATATATGGGATGTGGGATGCTTGACCCAAAATTTCAATAGGTAACTGATTAAATCATTATTTGGTCACAAGAGCACAATATTTGGGAGTTTTTCAGGCTTCTGGCTGTGATTATTTACTAACATTTCACATCACTCTTTTTAATTTGGCAAGACATAAAAAATTACTTTCAAAAGCTGATTATTATACAAGGGAATGAACACTCAACATTTCCCCCCCATTTTTTAAAAAATGGGGAGTTAGGAAACTTTCCTAGTCATACATAATCCATGATAGGAATAGTGGCTTGAATATCTGGATCAGAGAACCAGACTTGGTGTTAGGTGAAATCTCATTGTAAATACTGTCTCATCAATACTGGCAAACCTAGAGTCATATCCAAACTCAACAGGGTACAAGTGATCAAGCAAGATTTTGGAAGAAGATTTCTTCATCATTGTTTCTATCTACACTTCTGATTCCATCCATTTTATTTACTGGAACATGACCCTGGAATATATGTGTCAGACAAGATGATAATGAACAGCGTACATCATCACCTCTATATCCCCTCTGACCAACCTATTCAAGTCTTCTGTGATAAAATGGTATTTTGCATCACTGAGGTGTATTTTAATCCTGGAACTGGGCGACTTTTATGATGTTGGGAATTTTTTTTTATACAAATGAAAAAGACAAAAATAAAGCAATTCCCAGAACTCAATTCCAGTGGAACTAATATTAAGCATTCTTTTAATAGCCTTTTCCTTCCTCTTATTCACATTTTATTCTCACAAAGAACTCCACCTCCAGGAAGCCTAACTGAATATTTTATTTAGCTGCCTCTTATAATCTCATAGAACAAAAGGATTTTGTATCTTCTAGGATATTTTGCACTTTTAATTATTTGGTGGTAGTTTTATATAGTGGGTGAATGTACTATATAATGTAAATTAGTCAAAAGTAGAGTCCCCCTTACTAATATTTTTGAATGTTTTCCTTAGCAATTAGTAAAAAGTAATAGAGTTGTGACTCTCACTGAAAGGGAATGCATCTCTCAGGTATATTGGGCACAAAATAGGGCTCAAATCCACTGCTCTAAGAATGCTTTGCCATAATTAAGTTATATTGTGGCATGTGTTCCAAACAATAGCTTTAAAATTTTGTACATCAAAACTTTGACACTTACTGGAAATTAAAGGATTGTCAAAGTCATCACTCCAGAGGCTGCAACAAGCTTCTACAGTGGTGATGGATAAATGTGATAATATCTAGGTAGATAGATAATCCTTTGATTTGATAAC